TAACACCCTATCTCGTTGGAGGAGTTGGTCTTCTACTGCGGCTACTGCTGTAGACCCCTTCTCATAGGGAAGTAGGGGAGGTGGGTCCCGACCATATAGGGAAGGGAGTCATTCCGACTGCACTGTGATATGTGGTATTGTACCACCATTCTGCCTAATGAAGCCACTTGAGCCACTAGCGGGGCCTTTCCCCTGCATAGCACCTTAGGTAGGTTTCCAAACTCCGGTTGACCACTTCAGTCTGTCCATCTTTTTGAGGGTGGTAGCTGGTAGATTTTAAGAGTTGCACTCCTTGTAGTCGAAAAAGTTCTACCCAGAATTGACTCATAAAGATAGGGTCGTGGTCGGAGACAATAGAGTTGGGGGTACCATGCAGTCGTGCCACCTCCTTAGTAAAAATTTCAGCTACCATGGAGGCTATGAAGGGGTGGGGCAGAGGGAGAAAATGGCTGTATTTGGTGAATCTATCAACTGCTACGAGAATGGCGGACTTGCCATAGGAAAGGGGAAGTCCCGTTATAAAGTCCATGGATATATCTACCCATACTTGTGTCGGGATTGGGAGTGGTTGTAGCAGTCTCGCTGGAGACTGGGTATCCGCCTTATTTTTCTGGCAAATGACGCATTCGGCTATGAATTTTTGGACCGAATTTCTCATGCCTTTCCAATGGAATTGGGTGGCTAGTCTCTTGTAAGTGCGTAGGATCCCTAAGTGCCCTCCTACTGGGGATGAGTGGAACAATTCCAGGAGCTGCTGAATATGGGCTGAATCCTGTGGTATCACCATTCAGCGTTTATATAGTAGCAAGTTGTTTTCCACTGTGTACCCTGGGTGGCTAGTAGGGTCTTCTTGGATCTCTGCGCGCAGCTTGCACAGTTGTGGGTGCCTTTCAGCTTCCTCCCTTGGCTGTCCCATGATGGAACATGTAGGGCCTGTGAGAAGTAATGGGAACAGTTGTGGCTGGCGTGACAATGCATCTGCCACCTTGTTAGCGTGCCCAACCTTGTATTTAATGTCATAATCGTAGCCAAGTAATTTGGCTATCCATTGTTGCTGTTCCGGGGAGAGTACGGACTGTTCCAACAGAAATTTCAGGCTTTGGTGGTCAGTTCGTATGATGAATCTCCTTCCCAGGAGGTAGGGACGCCATCTCTGAACTGCAAGAACAATTGCTATCAATTCGCGTTCATATACTGATTTGGCCCATTTTTGTGCGGTCATTGCCTTGCTGAAAAATGCTCATGGTCTTTCTTCTTGCACGAGGACTGCACCCACTCCTTGGCTTGATGCATCACATTCAATGATGAAGTCCTTTGAGAAGTCAGGAAGTGCGAGCGTTGGCGGGGAGGAGACAGTTGTCTTGAGTGTCTCGAAGGCTTGTTGGGCATCCTTAGTCCAGCAGAACCCATCTTTCTTAAGCAAACTAGTCAAGGGGGCAGCAATCAGTCCATACCCTCTAATGAATCGCCGGTAGTATCCTGTTAACCCCAAGAAGCCTCGTAACTCCTTAACATTTTGAGGTCGGGGCCAGTTTGTCATGCTTGAGATCTTTTCTAGGTCTGCTTCTACCCTGCCGTTCTTGACTACGTGCCCCAAATAATGTACTTGTGTTTGTCCAAATGCGCACTTTGACTCCTTTGCAAGGAGCTTATGAGTCCTTAACAATTCCAAGGTGATTTGTAGATGTATTAGGTGTTCGTCTCATGTAGCGCTATATACAAGTATGCCATCAAAAAATACAAGTATAAATTTGCGCAAATGGGGTCGAAATATGTCATTCATAACGGCCTGGAATGTAGCTGGCGCATTGGTCAGCCCAAATGGCATAACCAGGAATTCATAATGCCCTTCGTGTGCACAAAAGGCAGTCTTGTGGATGTCTCCTTCATGGACCCGAATTTGATGATATCCCGATCTCAAGTCTTGTTTAGAGAATATGGTGG